TTTCAAGAATCTAATACAAAAGAGTTAGGTGTGTTTAACTGAAGTTATACACAAAAAGACTACACAAATTTTATATTAACTAAATCTTCAAAATTAAGATGTTTTTGTGAAATAGCTCAATTTATGGTCAATGATCGATCATATATGATAAAGATGTGTAATAATAAAATTATTATCAAAATATTTTATTATAAAATAAAGTATAAAATGCAAGTACAAACAAACTTGAGAAAGCAACAAGAATCTCCAAGTGAAAAAGAATGCACAATTAAGAAGAGTTGGTCAAACATAAGATAGGAGAAAATGTTTAAGATGACGAGAATTAGGGAGAGTTTCAAAGTCTTAATTTTTCTGAAAATTTCAAAATTTTCTTGAAAGAATTCTTAAAAATAATATTTATTTTACTTTTTTAAAACATAATTCGTAAGGAAACATAAACAGTAGATTATTAAATACCCAGGAAACATATTGGAGTATTATTTAATATTACCTGAGGATTAGTATTTAGCAACACAATTTGTAGGAAATAATTATTAATTATTGCAATTTTTTTCCACTAAAAATAGATATTCCGTACAAATATTTTTCTGGAAAAGAATCTAAGTGTTTATTTTCTTTTAATTATCCCTAAAAAAATCTGTAGGCATTTTCTGAAGAAAAATTTCACAAGGAAATATATATATATATATATATATATATATATATATATATATATATATATATATATATATATATATAAAAGTTATACTCAGGACCAAAACTTATGGGTCTAACAATCCGTAATTATAATGATTAAGTTTAATAAAGATTTGAGAAAAAAATTAAAAATGAAAAACCAAATAAATAATGAAATTTTAATAAAAAATATAACTTTCATCAACTTTATTATTTCATATATTATTTTTTATTATATATTTAATTATTTATTTTACTTCTCTATTTTAAAATATGAAGTTTGAGATATAGATACACAAATCAATAAAAATATTTTTATAACTTATAGTAAAAATTTTAATATTTTTAATAATAATTTCGTCATTTTATTTTCATTTTTTAAAATTATTAACAATAACTTATTTTTTTCTCTATAACAAAATATCTAATAAAGTATTGAGTTGTTCTTCTTCTTAAATAACAGGTGTGTGAATTTAAAATATTTTCTTATTTTATTAAAAATAGATTTCTTCTATATTTTTCATTCTTAAAAATTTTACCACTAATAATTTTGAAGAGTTGTTCTTTCATATTACTATTTTGGTATTCTCCTGAAAATTTATAATCAAATCTACAATTAGTTTTTATGTTATTTTATGTTTTTCTTCATGAAACATTTCATAAAAGTCAACATCTTCATCAATTTCTCCAATTTGTTCATGTTATATTTTTATCGAATAATCCTTTCTACATAATTTATACTCTTTTTTTCATTTTTATTTGTAAGTTTACTTAATCAATTTTTTTAATTAGACTCATTGTATTTTCATTGCAAATGTTATTTTTTTAGAATAAAACAAAAATTAAAAGAAAAAATTAAGTAGGTTCAGATTTCTATATATAATATTTGTTTGGATTAACACAGAGCTAATTAGTCATTAAATTTAAATATTTAAAATGATTTTTTAAAAACTGAAATTATAAATATATAAATAATTTTAAAAAAGTTGGTACTAAAATAATTTTAAAAATTTGAAATTATAAATATATAAACAGTTTAAAAAATTTTGGTACTTCGAAACCTTTTATGCTAGTTATCATAGGAAGCTTTATTTTGTCAATTTAAAATAAAAAAAATCCTTAATTAATAATAACTTTTATCAACATATTTATTATTAAAGAGTATACATAAATATTTAAATATATTGTTCTAAATATATAAGGTATGTTTTTTTTCATTCATTAAAGATTAATTCACGTAATGGTTATTAATGTGACAGAATTTCCCACTAGTATATAAAACAAAGTACTTGACTTATTTTTGTGTTTTATTATATCCTCTCGATTGAATAAAAGTTGAATTTATTCAACGTGATACTTCCATATTTGAATCTACTAACTACTATTTTATTAATTTATATTATTTAAAAAATAAGTTACTCGATTCTTAGAAGTTTTAATAACTAGAGTACAGTTTTAGAACATTAGTTAAAATAATAAAACATATTTCAATTTTATAAATTAAAAAGTGATTAATTATATATTTAATTGTGAAGAAATATACAAGTGGCAGACATGCATGTAACCGACAAACCAAACCACATTTGAATTAAAATAAGTTAAACTGACATGCAATAATGCAACATGTTTTGGCATTAACTTGTAAATAAGTCATAAAGTTTATGCCTTTTTTTCTCTGTTCATGTTCCTAAAGAGATTATAATTATTAGTCTTAACTCCACTAACTAACAAGGCTTACACCCAGGTCATTATAATTATGTGGGTTCATGAAAAAAATATTAAATAAGATATAAGTTAATTTTTTTAATTAAAATAGTAAATAAAATTCTTTATAAAACTTTCAAGGTGACCTTGCTTTAACTGTTATATATTTTTAGAAAATATATTTTGATAACCTAATCAATAAATAATTCTTGATAAAAAGTATATTTTGATAATCTACTTTAAATAGAAAATTTTGTAAGTAATTCTTTATGAGAGAGTAAGAGAGAAGAGTGCAAATATAGATATTTTGTTATTATTGCTATTATATTGAAAGAAATAAAATTGAGATAAATGTTTTTGAAATAAGTAAGTTAAGAGCAAATAGTTTTTGGCTTATATTTTAAATAATTTTGAAAAATTATATTAATATAATTATATAAAAATAATTAATTATATATATATATATATATATAAATTTTAATTTATATTAATGAATTGTTTATTTTATTTTGATAATATATTTATTTACTTAAAAATTAAAGTTAAAATTTTATTTTTTATTATCATTTATTTTTTTCATAATATAATAATTTAAAATAATAATTTCTTTTAATTATTAGATTTAAAATAAATGAATATTAATGATTTATTTTTATATTTATTTTTAAAATAAATGAATCGTTTTATCAAGTTAACTTAATATATATATATATATATATATATATATATATTAATAATATATTTTTCATTTAAAAAATTAGTATAATTTTATAAAATAAATTAATCAAAAAATTTATGAGTTAATGTGACTTAAACCTATTTAAATTATAACTTAAATTGATTAGATCAAAATTAACCTAATTTAGATTGAAAATTTTTTAGATTAATCTGAGATGATTTAGTACTCAAATTTAATCTTAACTTCTTTTCTTCAAATTTTTTTATGTGTTATAATATGTAATAAAAAAAATTGGAGAATAAAAATGTTATTTTAAATATGAAATAATTATGAGAGAAATTATATAAGATTTTCAATTATGCGCATAAGATCTTCAGCTATTTAATTATGCTACTCACTATGACTAATATCCTAACTAAAAAACACAAAGAACTTGTGTTTTAAGTGAAATATAAACTAAATATCTTAAAATTAAATGTGATTTTATTTTTTAAGGGTATTATATTTCATAATTTTCAATTTAGATAATGAATTTTCTTTGAAATTTTATAAATTTAATGAAAAGTAATTAATTTCGGTGGTTAATTCATTACTGTAAGAATTAAACCTTACATTTAATTTTCTTTATTAAAAATATATAAGTAAACTTTGACCATCTTCTGTTTATTGTATTTTGATGATAAAAAAAATTGGAAATTAAAGAAAAATAAGTGTTAAATGAAAAATTAAATTAACTGTGCAAAATGATAAGGATTTATTGAAAGACAAGATCAATAACTATAAACTATAAATAATGTATATGAATTTAAGGAAACCTAACAAGCAAATGAAAACGAGATACACGAATTGTAAAAGATTGAAAACACTAATATAAAATAAAAACCAAATTATATAATTGAAAACAAACAGATAATAATAACATATAAATTAATTGTTTTTTTCAATAGTCATGTTGAGTTCATTAATATATAATATTTGTGGAATATGTTTTTCACACTAAATTTATTCTTAAATATTTTTATCTATAGACCTTCATGGATGATCACTAGTTCTAATGGATGCATGACGTATTTAATCATGTATTATATTGAAAGTTATAGTCTAGATTCTTGAAGATACTCTTACGTAATCCCCTTCATCGATTTCTTGATATAAAAATCGATCAACTTTCTTTTTCTTTCGTCTGTTAATTTTCCATTTTTATGGATAACATGTTACTTCTTTTTAACATCTAGCACAACAGAAAATGTCAATTATTTTTAGGATGAAATAACACAAAAATGTATATTTTAGATTAAATAGATAATAAAAAAATATTTTTATTGTACATTCAATTACATATACAAGTTATTTTTTTAACAAATATCTTTTAGTTGAAAGTAAAATTAAATAATATACAAGTCACTTTTTAAATATTAATTATGATATGAACTGTATTAATAACAGTACATGTATCCTTTTTAATACGGATCAAATTATTTGTGATGAAAAAGAGTTTTTCAACTGAAATTGAATCAATTTGATTACTATTATAAGAAAAGTCGTTTGATACAAAACACCCAACAGAATGCAATCTATTGCGATTTACTAAATGCATTCCGTGCTAATAACATCACTAATTGTAATGTAATGTAATTTATGAAAAAGTTCAATTAATTTAACCTTTTCCTTTTTTTTCCTAAGTATTGAATGATAAAAGATATTCAAAAGTGATCATAGTACAAAGAAAGGAAGTCTAGCAGATATTGTATAATTTGGAATGTAATTTCATGAACACAACTCATAACATGTAACATGTATTAGGTTGTTATTTCTTATGAGCAATAACTCCTTCATATACAAATTACATGACTAATGATTGTGATTTTGTATAATGACTATAGATAACTGGGACTATAATGACAGTAACGGAAGCATATATATATATACATTCGTTGATTTATTATACAACATAGCGACGAAGATAATCCAAACGTGCAGGATGCTTGAGCTTCATGAGAGCCTTGACTTCATGCTTCCGAACCATTTCCCTCGAAATGTTCAAGTTCCCAGCAATTTCTCCCAATGTTCTGTCACCCTTGCCATCAAGTCCATATCTCTGTCTGATCACTAAACTCTCCTTTGGCTTCAGGGAATCAAGCTACAAAAAGTTCCCAACAAATGACAATGTCAATTTCATGTTATGGTTTTACTAAAGTCACTAACTCGTAGGACCTGACAAGAAAAACTATCCAGAAAACTAAAACTTACTCTCCATTGCAAAAATTTGAGAGCACATTATTATCTTTGAAAAAAAGACTTCAATGCAACTTTTTTATTGTAAAAATATTGCAATTGTACTGTTTTGGTTCCTTAGGTTCCAAATGCTTCAATTAAGATTGTAATTCCTGTATCAAATGGAATTTGCTGCTGCAATATAACGACATGTCTTAGAGACTAACTTCAAACATAGAGACTAAATTCAAACAATTGTGATACCTCACAACTCAATTGACACAATGGGAACTTAGAGGATCAAAATCACACGTGATTGAAACATGAGAAAGAAAAATCGCAAAATTGCGATGCTGAAGACCAACAATACAAAAAAACCTTGCAAAAATTAATCTAAAGACTTTAATTTTCCTCTGGTTAAATGAATCACCAATAAATGTTCTGACAGTGAATTAGGAAAGCCCTTATTTATTATGTACTGGAAATGATGAGTGCATGGACGACGTAGAATAGAGAAAATAATAGTATGACCCAGAACCTTCTAGTTCACAAAAATTGTCTTTATTATCTTATTTATACATTTCATGGACTTGAAAGCCTAAGGGTTTCTTTGTAATTTTAGAATAGATTTTGTTTAAGTTATAATAATAGATTAGGTTTGACCTAGCTTTGTAGGAAGTGCCTCAAAAGACAAGGGACAAAGACATATTGAAGGGCGCCATTGAACGAAGGACCTAGATTGTTATGAAGATAAACCAGTAGTGCGGACGAGCCAAGAGAATGAGAGAGAAACGTAAGACAGGGACAAGGAAGAAGAGAAATACAGAATACTGAAACCCAATGACGGGAACTTTAAGATAGGAAGAGAACATACAATGAATTATAATATTTTCCAAATACAGTTTACAACAATTATTTATAAGGAATGAATTCTAATATTTTCCAAATACAGTTTACAACAATTATTTATAAGGATTGATAATTAAGGCCGGAACTGTTATAAGTTGGCCAAATTATAACATAGATTGGCCAAGTTATAACATAGATCATGCCAAGCATTCAATACATAGCTTGGCGCAATAGAAGATTCAAGGTTCTTTGGCGTGCTAAGCATCATGGTACATCGCACTTGAAGTGCACTTGGCATAGAAAACTTCTAGGCTCTTGAAGGACCAAGCAAGACAAGGAAAACATGCATCAATTGGTGCGCCAAACCAAGAGTCATTATGCCATTCTATTTCAAATTTTGGTGCCAGGTTGAAGTCACGTGGACCACAAGTGGAGTGCAGGCCTAGTGTCGGAATAATCTAGAACATTGCCTCTTTAGCTTACTTTGTAGCATTGTTTAATACTTTTGAATGAATTGAAATCATTTTGAAAATTTTAAAGAAACTTATGAACTCTCTAGAGGAGTGATGAGATACTCTCTCTTTTCTGGAGTTTTGAGTGGTTAGGAATTTAAGTGGTGACTCTTTCTCTCATATATCATGAGACATATCATGTGGCGTGATTTTCCATTTTTTGTCTTCTCCATCTCTTTTCTTTTTGGTTTATATCACTTGCCTATTGTTTTTGTTGCCTATCATATAGAAACAATGACTCAAGCTTGATAAAAAATGGGTTTCATACCCATTTTTGGAACTTAGTTCTTCTTTCCAAGCTAAGACATATTCTAATCCATGGTTCAATAGTTACATCTCATTGATTTCAATTGATTCAAACCACACATATTTTAAGTGCCACTTAGAAGATCTCACTTTTATACCCATTTTTGGGGTTCCATTAGAAGAGATCTAGGTATTAAGTGTGTCACAGACTTATCCGTGACTCACCAGTGAGGACAACTCTTGCAAGGACGCAGTGTTTATAAGTGTAATAAATCAATCTTAGAATATCATTGAAATAATTTGAATGGATCACACTTCATTTTACAGAAAGGTACTTAAATTGCACAATTCTCCCTTTCCCTTTAGAGATGAAATGAAAATGCCTCAATGTTGGTGAACAACTTAATGTATATATACCTTATCGGTTGCTATATTAAATATAAAGAACAGTTAATTTTAAACCTCATACTATTGATTCTAGGATTGTGGAAGATGAAATAAAGTTTAAGCACCTATACTTCAAGCTTCATAACATCTAAAGTTTCCAATTTGACAATGGAGATAATGTCCAAAACTCAGCAAGAAACAAAAAAAAAATCCTTAAGTAATTTTCACTAAAAATGAATCAAGTGTAACATATATATTCCACACTCAAGGAAGGGGAGTTTAGTTTACTAAAACATATAATTCCAGCAAGATCTTTGTTTTCTTTTTTTATTATCCTGTAAGGTATTCATCAGTTAGGCCTCTATATGCACTGCTATCATGAAAAAATTACTACATCGAGGATGGACACCAAAAAGGACAATGGAAGCAAGGTTTTAGGTTGGCAAGAAAATGATCATCATACTTCTTTAAAGGTACAGCAAGCAGCACACAACTCTGACATTCAAAGCTTCACTAACTTTAAGCACGTTAATCAAATTTCACATATCATCAAAGGGAGAGTATCAAGGAGTTGAGCTATTACCACATCATCCAGAGCAAGTCTTAACACAGCCAGTTGCCTTCTATTATCACCATTAACACCATCAACATCAGTAATCCCATTAATAAACTCTTCATCTGTGGTTATATGTCTTGAATGAAGGGATAGAATGGGTTTCGATGCCTTCATTACGTCATAATATCTTTCAGGGGAAATCCCAATTCTTTCTACTACCTCGTCTTCCGTTGGTGACCTCTGGAGCTCAAATGCCAACTCAAGTTTTGTTCTATGGATATCTGACCTAACCTGTTGAAAATAAATATGAGATGTTATAAAAGGCTGCTACCTGGGCAAAGTCTAATATTGAACCAAGTCTATAATAATTTCCAAACCAACATATTTTCTTTGAATATCTTCGGAAAAATTAGATATGGTCAAAACACCAACCGATTTTTCATATATTATATTTTAATTATAGAAAAAGCCTTCCAAGTCTAGTGCCTAAGGAAAAGAATTTTGGATCTCTGCTTCCTCCAGTTTCAGCCAACTAAACAGGCCAATTAACAATCTTGATTGGTTGAAACTGCCATATTATTCAGTCCAAATGTCCACACGATTCAGGTCAAATCTAATAAAGCATGTTGCTTATCTAAAATTAGTAATAAAATCAATTCGTCCATTTTCAAAAATAATCACCATGCGTTGATAAGAAGAATGCATACCCGGTCAAGTCCAAAAGGAACACGTGTGAAGCTTGAGAGGGTTATGGAACGAACAATTGAATGTCTTATCCAAAATAGACTGTATGTAGATAGCTGAAGTCGCCTTTTTGACTCAAATCGATCAATTGCTGTGATGAGTCCCCTAACTCCAGCCTGACAAAGATCTTGAAACCTTGGGCCACTTGCAAAATCTTGAAAATATTTGTTAATTACGAACAATACAAGCCGGAGATTGTGCTGCAATAGATATCAGCATGATTTCTTAATATCAATGTAACTATTACTGTTCATTCCAAAGAATATCAACAAACACATCAACAATTACACCATTCATCTCCAAAGCGACAGATAGAGAAAGAGAGAGAGAGAAGTAGAAGGAATAGATCAGTAATACATCACTGATCTCTGAAGGCTTATTATAAGCCAATCAAAAAGAAGAGTTGACCATTCTATGTTACCTTTATGAGCTTGGTTCTCGCAGCTTGACCAACCTCCATAGCTTTCCTTACTTGAACAATGCTAATGCTTGTTGCATCTGCTAGTTCACCATCTGTAATTTCTTTCCCTGCTGCCTGTAAATCTTCTCTCACTTGTAGGAGTGCCTGAACAATAAAAAACACGGTCTAATATCAGAAATACTTGAATTTTCACTCAGCATTTTAAATTATTAAATTTAAAGATTCCTTGACGTCAAAAGCTTTCATGACTGTATGCTCAATATGTGGATCCTTGACTACTAATTCCCATGATTAATTTTCCATACAGTTAAAAGCAACCTTTGCTCTTTGCATCATTCAGCCCAAATGGATTTGACATGAAGTGTATGTGAAGCAAAGACAAAATCGGTTTAAAAAAATCATCATCTGCCTGCTTAAGTTTGAAGGTTGACTGGTTCTTTAACATTCAAAAAGCAAAGGTGATACACTTTTATTCTAAAAAGGAAAAAATCATAAAAGAAAGTATATTGGAAACCAAAACAGGAAAAAAAATTCACCTTCATAGGTTCCATCAACTTAAATAGCCATGCATGTTCTGAAGAAGGAAGAACTGGCGGAATTTTCATTTTCTTCCAATCCATGCTAACTAAATCAGTTGATGCTGAATATTCCCTGATAAGCGCATCAATATTCTCTATTCTATTAACAGCTTTTTTCTTCTGGGCTTGAACAATCACCTCCTCTTTTGCATTCCTTTTCAATGCAATCCTCTTATCGAGACTCAATCGTTTGGCCTTTTTATTCTGGTTTCTAACCACATTATCATCATTTCTGTGATCATGTTCATCACCAACTTTCTTCCTTCCCCGCAATACTCTCTTGATTTTACTTTCTATATCTTCTGCGTTACAAGTATCAGCTGCAGAGCTGAGTTTATATATATTTTCAAGTTTGGCTGCAGCTTCATTGTAGTCCACATCCAAGGTGACTGGAGGGGTTTCATCAGTAGAGACAGCTCTCACTCTCTTCAGCGACTCATTAGTCTTTCCTATCTTTTTCTGGTGTTTCTTTGCCGTTTCTACAGGTAGGGGAATTTTCTCCTGAGGTGAAACCAAAGTGGTTTTACTCGATTTATTTCTTTTAAAAGCTACAATTAGGGGTCGTTTATGTGCCTGCTGCCGACTGATCAACTTTGTACTAAATCTTAATGGAGTCCTAGAAGCTGAGGTAGAAACAGTAACAACTCCCATGCCAGGTTTCCTAAGCCGCGTTTAGAACATAAAAAATGAAACAAATTTTCAATGCAGAGATCCTACAACAGCAGACCAAGTCAATATCAATGACACGTGCTAATAAAAAAAGTGCATAACATCTTGATTAACCACTAATGTAGGATCAATATCCATTACTAATAAAAGAATAATACAATGAAAAAACAAGATATTGTTTTACCAGACACTGATTAGTCTCCGTTACCAATTTGACGTTAGTAAAATAGTTTCAAAATTGATATACCAATACAAACCCACTAGGTTCGGTCTAGTAGCGGGTTAGAATAGATGCATGATGAAATCTTAGGTTCAATTTTTGCGCTGTCAGCATGGTTCTAAAAAGAAATTGATACCCAATACTTCAAAATAAAAGCATAAACTATAAGAAATCAAGAAGTTTTACCTAATGATTGCTAAAACCAACAGAACTTTTTGTTTTGCTTGAGAATACTTGTATGGTAAAAGATCACTTAATTAAAATTGCCAACTAAAAGGAAAGAGTGATTTAATCCTACCATACAAGAACACAATCCCATGAACACATAGAAAAGACATAATGTCAAAAAGAAAAATGAATTGAAGTAGCAGGGAGCATTACTCGCACCTTGAACTGCAATGTTTCCCTGAATGCACGCAGATTTTTCGACCACAGCGAATCTATGCGAACGGTTGAGGTAGTGGCTTTGTCGAACGCGAGATACTGAAAAATTCGGTGTCCACAATTTTATGTGTAGAAAATGAAACGGAGAGATCAGACGGTGGAAGAAGAAGAAAGCGGGATATGATAGGTACACGTGGAGAGAATGTGGCATGATGGACGTGACGTGGCGAAGAAAGTGAATGTGGCGCTTTTGGAATGGGGGATGAGATATTTGGGGGAAGTTGTGGATCAATCTGGTACACGTGGTTGGGTATTTGTGGTTGTAGAAAGCCTTTGATTTTTTGTTGGAGCCCTGATACGTGTGGTTGTGGCGTGTCCAATACGTAGTTCAATGTCCACCGTGCGTCCCATTAATATTGAAACTATTAATGAAAAAATAAATTATGTCAAGGGAAATAAATTATATCTATAAACTATAGATATATTTAAATATTTAAATATATTAAGTTAATAAAAAAATATATGTTGGAAAAGGAATATTTAAGATGGGATTTTCTAATTAAATGTTAAAATAAAATAAACTAGAGTTAAAAAATGCGTTTTTGACCTTCCACTTTTTTTTCTCTGTTTGGGTTGTTTACTTTCTTCTCTAAAGTTGGGTCTTGCATTTAAGGCCCAACTGTAATACAAAAATGTCTTTTATTTTTTTTAACCTAAAAATTATTTGTGCTTCCACAATTTTAGGGGAAGATATAAGTGTGTTTTTAGGTTAAAAAAAATAAATTTTAAAAATTATTTTTTTTAACTTGTTTAAAAAAATTAGGATTATTTGAATTTAGATTTAGTTTTTCTCATGTATATTTGGCATTAGTCCAATATGTATAGTCCACGATCACGATTATGTCTATATAAATCAGATAAACATTATAACGCATAAGTTTATCTATTTTTAAAATGTTTTATAATTATAAAAAAATGTTTTACTTTTTTTTTTAAATCCACACTTCAATATATTTTACATTTCATCCTTCTAAATTTAAATTATTAACTTCGTCTCTGTAAAATTAACTATTTTTTTATCTTCTAATTTTTTTATCTTAATTTTTTTAAAGTGAATAAAACATTTGTTTTAGAAATCTAATAATATTTTTTAAAAGTTTCAGTAATCATTTCACCTTAATCAAACACATAAACTATTAACAAACATAATTTGAGGATTAAAAAGAAAATTATCAACTTATTTTTTTAATAAAAGGAAATTAATTTTTATAGATATCGAAATCAAAATATCTAACTTTACAAAGTTAACAACACATTTAAGCCAATAACAAACTTTCAACTTTTTGAAGAATAAAGAGGTTTTTTTAAATTAATTAAAATCAAAACATATTAATTCTTCTGAAATAAAATAAAAAAATACATTTAGTTTTTTTTTAATTAAATACTGTCTTATGTTTAATTATGAACACGCAACTAATAAATTAAACTATTAAAGCTAGATTGAAGTTTTGTAGATAGCTTAAATTATATATAAGCTTCAATTTAGCTTTCTCCATCATGGTTTATGTATTAATTTTGTAGTTCACATACTGTGAATAAAAAAAATTCACGCAGCATGGATAAAATAAATGAATCAATCAAAAGATTGACATAGCATTTTGTTTCATTTTTTGTTTAGTATTAATTAACTCAGTTTATGTCTAATCAAGTTGGGTTATATATAAAGAGATTAATTGGCATTCCCCAATGTGAAACCCATGGATTGGTTCATGGTCAGATACATGCATTTACTCACCCAACGCAGAGTTGTCACTTTCCATGTTACAACTCTTTTTAAACTCAAATTTCAGACCCAAACACTCCATTTTTAATCATTTACTAAATCAATCGTTTGTCCTTTGTTCTTTCCAGTTGCAATATGTACATGTTTCATAATTATTCATATAAATAATTTATTTTATACTCTTAGTTTTAATAATTATCACATATATTATATTTAAAGTTACACATTACGTTTTGGATCTTAAAAAAATTATTTATAATTATAATGACTAGCATATATATTTAATTTTTAGAAAAAAAGAGAGTTTACCTTTACAAATCTTATACATATTTGTTTTTATATTTACTTGCTAATTTATTTATTTTTTAAATATATAAAATTAAGATTTCACCGTAAAATTTTGTTCTACACTACACATGTTATTAGTTTTACTTAACCAATAAACGACTTTTTTTATTGAAGATAAAATAGAAATTTTTATTTAAGTCATATAATTAATTATAGTTAATAAGTGTTACTATAATTTTTTTAGACCATAAATAAACAGACAGCAATTCATGCGAGTATTGATCAATGCGTCTCTGGCAAGTTATAGAAAAAAAAAAAAGGATTCAAATTTTGTCACGTTACAAGAATAATCCCACGTTGTCTGTTTCTCAGTGCAGAATTAAATTTTAAGGAAAGCAAATAATTATTTTTGAGACCATAAGTAACAGCAATTGATGAAGTGTTGATTAATGCGTCTTTTGCAAGTTGTGACTAAAAATAATGGTTTCAAAATTTGTCACATAAGAATAATCTCACGTTGTCTCTTCTTCACTGCGCCACTTTTGTAACCGCGTCAGTAATAAATATCAACGTGACTCAGAAATTTAGAATAGAAGTTTGGGAGTTTTGAAAGGAAGGTTCAAACTTGTACGTAGCTCTGTAGACAAAGTCTTGACGTGGGGAATGACGCGGCCACCACATCATAACCCTAACCGTCTCGCAAACGTTTCGCACAACCGAACGCGAAATTTAGAACAAGTAACGACGCGGTTTCAAGATTCTTCGTCTTCCGTTTTTTCCGTTTTTTTTTTTTTCAAATTTTACTCTTTCAAAATCTTTGTAATGCATTTTTAGGAATTAAATTGAAATAATAATTATTAATTACAGTGGAGAAGACATGGTCGTACGTAGCACTATAGAGTACTGTAACAAAATTAATATAAACACGTTTTAGAAAAATAACATTTAAATATAACATTCTCGTGCTCGTATGGACTTACTCATAATATTGGAAATGTTTTCTAATGATTCCTCAATTAAATTGACGAGATTCAACATTATTTGAAGATTTTATTTTTTTATCTCTCATAATCAGTTTTTCTCTTTAGTCAATTTTGTCCTAATAGATGCCATTTATACCTTTTGTTACTTCATAATATTACAATTAAAGAATAATTATTATGTTTTAATGCATATTATTATTTATTAGGGTAGAAAAGGGTTCGTGACCTTGTTCCTTTAAATAAATGTGATTTTTGTTCATATATTTTTTATATGTTAAGACATTTTCATAAATTGGACACGTGTTCATTATTTTGGAGATAGTTTACATATTTGATGTTTTTTTAAGTATTAGTTCTATTCGTAATATAATTTTGTGGAATAAATTACTTTATAGATAGTTTGGAGAGATATAGGGATTTAATATATAGTGATTTGTACAATCATTATTTTTAATTTTAATAATTATTAAATATAATATCAATAATTTAGATTAATGTTAAAGTGGTAAAATTACTAACAAAAATCCTTGGATACTATAATGTACCTTATCAGTAAATGATAGTCCCAAATCTATTTTAAAATTAGTCAAACTTTATTGTAATGATTATAATGATTATACATTTATATATATCATTAGTATTGATACACAAGTTTCCATCCTCCATATAAATAATAATTACATGCTTCAAATCAGGACATCACCACTTACCTTGCATACATTCATAACATTAATCTTAGTATCTTATTTACTTTTCTTTTATAAGATTATAAGTCATTAGAATAAAAAAATAATTCTTAATTATAAATGTAAATGAAAAATATGAAAATTTAAAAATAATGATATATTTAAAATAAAAAATATAAAAGGTATTATAATACATTATTGGAGATGCTCTGGAAACAAGAAAATTAGGATGTATGTTATTTGTTTTGATTCTTTCTAGTAAAGCATAAAAATTAAATGTGTTTGATTGAATTTAATTTTAATTTAATATAAAATTTAAATCAATATGTGGTTTGATTTTGATCAGTTTGTACTGTTTTTATTATTATAAAATAGTTAAATATTTGTTGAAAAAATTGTAACATATTTATTTATGAAAAATTATTAAAATTTTATAATACTTTTTTTAAATAAAGAAATGTATTATATTTTTTATGTATTTGTTCTTATAATATAAAATATAATCAAATCATAAATTTTTTGTTTAAAAATATAAAAATATTTATTAGTGGATAATTAATTATAAGTATATAATAATAATTTAATTTTTATTTGAAATCTGAAATTTGAATTAAATCTTACATTTTAAGAAAAATTAAATATAAAAATTTAAAAATATTTTTAATCCATTTTCAAAATTTTAGCTTAATTTTTAATTATTTTTATACCAATGACAAATTGTACCCTTTAAATAAAATGTTATTCGATGGGACTTCCTTCCCATCTTCACACTTCCATGTATAGATTCCTTGACCATAGACTGGTCCAATTGAAGAAAGTCAACACCACCATTTCTTGGTCAAACTTTTTTTTCCTTCTCTTTTCCCACAGTTTTTTCTTCCTTAAAAAATGAGGCTATTAAATCCCTTACCCCGTACACACCCTCCTTCCCAAACTTCAATCACAACTTCACTTGTACACACAAATTTCTCCATCTCTTCTCCACTCTGTGTCCCTTTAACATCATCCCAAAAGCCAGATATTTTTTCAATCACACATATTGCGGCCATCTTCACCACTCTCATGTTTTGTCCCATTCCAGCCTCCTTTGGTTTGTGAGTCTGATTGTAAGACCAAAGCTTGTTCATTTTCAATTTTCTCACGTGCTTTTTCAATGGCCAAGCTCAAGTTTCTCTAACGACAACTTGCAATCACTATGAACACACACGTATATATATATATATATAGCACAAGTCAGGTATAGATATAACCTTTCTTTTTGACAGAAAGAAATAGGAAAAAGAAGCTAGCTATAATTATAATATCATATTTGGTGCCTACATAGTCTAGAGCATGGCAGATTGGGATTCCAACACCCTCGTGCATGAGCTACGACAAGGAATGGAGCTAGTAAGGCAGCTCCAAATCTCTCTCCACTTGCCTTGCTCATCCCAAGAAAGCCATGAGATTCTTGTCCAGAAGATCATAGTTTCGTTTCAAAGGGCACTTAGAATGGTGAACATGAGAATGGGGCTAGTGGGGAATCCTTCTCCTCATGTATTGCGCTCAGTGGTTGCAATGCCAAAGTCACAGTCACCACCTTTCAGCGGAAGTCCTCGCAGTGAAAACTCAGACCAAGATCTGAGGGAAATCAACCGAAGTTCCCCCAAAAATAGGTATGAGGTCAAGTCATAACAAATTTTCTTAATGTTTAGTTTTTATCAGTCTTTCATATGACATGAAGAATGTGTTTGACCATGTAATTCCCATGCAAGGTTTTATGTTGGGATATATGACCACAGTTCTCATGCAAGGTCCCAGTCTCATTTAATTTGTCTCTAATTTAGAGGACCTTGTTCCCGTGCTTCACGTTTAGAGGCTTACTGCATAATTAGCAGTGGCTTTTTAAGTTGATCACGGACATAAGTAATAAATTTGGCTCCACCATATTTGCTAAATCTCAGGAGGGCTATACCAAGCTGGAGTAAGCACATTCGAGTTAACCCGGGCATGGAAGTGGAAGGGCCTCTTGATGATGGATATAGTTGGAGAAAATATGGCCAAAAAAGCATACATGGAACCAAGTATCCAAGGTAGAACCATGTTATATTCATATCCTTCAATTCTTCCAATCTTAACTTTTGCCAACAACTATTATTATTATTATTACTGTCTTAGCTTGAACCAACTAATATACTTTAATTAATACGTGTAGAGGCTATTATAGATGCGCCCAGAGAAATGTTCAAGGCTGCATGGCCACAAAGCAGGTGCAAAGATCTGAGCAAGACCCAACTGTCATTGTAATCAATTACCGTGGAAATCACACCTGCATAATGGTTTCCTCTGCGGTTCTTCCATCTGGTTCCCAGGAAAACAAAGAACCAAATTTGAGCATAATTCCACAGCAGCAAAGTGCTGAGCAGAAACCAAGTGATCTACTTATGAACCTCCGCGCAGGACTGAGAGTCCTAACTGAGAATCTGGACCAACCATCACTTGCTTCATCGTTCCACTATTTCCCTTCAACTTCAACTGAAAAAATGGAAGATCAAGTTTTCTCTTCCATAATGATTGACAACAACTTTGCAGAAAATCTCACTTGTCCTTCTTATGTGTCCCCTGCCGCATCTGACACAACCTACCTTTCGGCTTCTCCAAGCGGAGGAAACAGCTTTAGAGGGCATCCAAATGTGGCAAGTTTTGGAACTGAGATCAATGACATGATTTCACCCGTTACATCTGCTGCTAATTCTCCAACATTTGCAAGCTTGAACTTCCCATTTGATCAGTTTCATATATTAGATAGCCAAAACTTCACCTTTCATAACCCACCATTCCCCTAAATATTTACAATCCATCATTTGTCACACCCGTATTTTTACGCTCATTTGTACACCCCTTAACTTGTTTCTGTATTATTCGTGATCAAATAACGTTACCTTTATTTCCAATCTCCATCCTAAAGTATTCACCTTTCACCAACCTGAAATTATCATTTTTCTCTCTAATCATATCACATCCATGGGAGCTAAGTAATGGCCTGGAAAAGTATAGGTTTAAGATTCACGCATACAGGGTGCATGAAACAAGTAACATTTCTATGTATGTCTTAATTAACCACATGTTTCGTATATCTAGATTTTTTTTCCCTCCCTGCTTTTGGTCTTTTAAAACCAGTCTTTAGCTTTGTTCACAAGACCAGATTCAATTCAGCGTGCTATAACTGGATGAGAGAGAAAGACATGGAGGAGACTGCAGTGTGGATAACAGAACGGGTAGAACTTGAAAAAGTGCCAACCGATCTTAGGATATTCGGTCATATGTTTCTCTAGTCTTGTGAGACACGGGAAGGAGAAAATTTATTGATGGACCTTGATTCATGAACACCTAACATTTTTTGACAAACACCTAAGCAACAACCACCTTTACTAAGTTTTTAAATTATAAAATTAAATATTAATGGAAAAAATATAATAATTTAATATGAAAAAAATGGGTGTTGATAGGTGTAAATACGAATAGAGGTGTACATCAATTTTTATTTTTTTTTATCCGTAAAATTTACAACAATTCACGCTGGTCAAACAACTAAGTTAATCACCCTTCTTTTTCCCTTATTAAAATATAACTTACATTGGTGTGGTTTATTGTTTGATCATATATTGTATTCACACTGTGTCTATTTATAATATATTTTGTGGCTACTGATGCTGACTACACACAACACATGTGCAACACACACAAGAAATATGCGTTTCTTTTTATACGAGTTTTTTTTTTCCTATTTTAGTGGAGTGTTACAGAATGAATTTGGAGTCTAACATGGAACTGGAATTAATCTCGAGTGGAGGGATTTAAGATTTTCTATTATTGCTTACTCTGTAAAACTAGAGTGAAGAGAATAAGTTTTTCTGTTATGATTAATTAGGCTTATTCACGATTAGAGAGGAGAGAAAAGAGATAGAGGATGGTTTTGGTTATTAGATTTTGTTTGATTTGTAACCTTCTGGTTTCAATTGACAAGGTGCAAATGTATCGGTCAGTTTTTTTGTACAAAGGATTGGGCCATTCGTACTATCAGAAATATATAATTTACATAAAAAAGAATGGTACTTTGTCATTCAGGCCTAATAGTTGTTGAAAAATAGGGTAAATTAACTCAAAATCTATCGATTTGAATGAAGCATGGATCAAATTGACTTGTTGAAAGTACAGTAGTTAAGTATGAGTATGATTATATTATATATAATTTATTTTACAATGACATGTTTAGGGTTTAAGATTGTAACGCAGCTTTAATTGTACATTACTTCTGTATGTGACAAGAAAAAGGTATATGCTAAATCCATGTTAAACCAAAAGAGGAATGATGATAGCTCAAAATTCCTTACATATTTTTGGATAGAAAGAACAAATTGAATTCTTAGATAAATGAAAGCTTGACACAGTGCCATATACGCAGCAAGAGAAGATGAGAAATAACACTAATTAAAATATACTGTAATTGGTTAATGAAAAGAAGAAAATGAAGTGAAAATGGTGACTAATTAAATGGATGTTCCCCATGTTCTCTATTATTAATGCAGCTACGTACGTACAAACAACACACTAAAAAGGGGAAGAGTGATGTCTGATGCTCGTTCTGGAGTGTGGAAGCCATGTTTTAGCAGAATGTTTGCTGGATTTGTTGAGCGAGTTCTTCGGCACTGAGTTGGCATTCAATTCCAATCTACAAAGGACAGATTTAAGAAACCATAGTTATTACTGGACCACACTGAACACGTAAATAGCATGCATACATAATCATTAATTAGCTTCCATGAAATAAATAATTTCAGAAAACGGTAGGTCCATATTTAAAATCACAGCCAATAAAATATATTTCCTTTTGGCCAAAATGAAGGCAAATGCCTGCGAGATGCCATGATACATCACACATCCCTGGTGTCTCAGACAAATCCAGTGAAAAAAGGTACTGGATGTACCGCATGTCATTGTTTACTACAGATCACAGTAGTTATGTACTTCACTGTAGAATACTAGCCATACGCAAATTACTATTAGTATTACTTCATTCAATATTCACAATGTCATCATGGTCATTATTTTAGTTGTTTCTACAGGTTGAAGGCTTAGGCTAGTAGGCTACTTGATCTGGCAAGCTATTTGAGTGTTCAAAGTTGTTAGAAAATTTAGACCGTCTAAATCAAGAATCAAGATGATGGTTTAGGGAACAAAAGCTGTTACATCACCGAGACACTGATATCAAAACCTATCCTCATTATTAGTGACAGGGACTTATGAAAAGACAGGTTTAATAATCTCAAGCAACAACAAAATCTCAATGAAAAAATAGTTACTTAAATTTGAGCTAATGCTTGGTAGCTGGCATTCAAAGATAGCAACATTTTGGACAAGTTTACAAAATAAAAGAAAAAAAAAAAAAACTTCATGCATGTGATGAGTCCTTTAATTTTTATTTTTTTTATGAACATGTTATTAGTTCATATTTGATTTAGTTTATTTTGAAAAAGAAAAATAATTACTTATCAGTTTTACAATATATATGAAGTGCTTAAAGATACTAAGCTTAGCAAAATATTAACTGAAGACATCAATAAAACAGTAGCCGCCATGTATGTACGTCACAGGTACCTTAATAGTGAATGAGTTTATCATGGTTTCATCAGCAGTGCTTATGTTCACATGGAGGATTTCGAGTGCTAGGTCTTCGAGGGCGGAAACTATTCTCAGAGTCTGTCCAGGAATTGGTGGTGAAACTGTCTTCAGAAGAACATGTGGACCTGAAAACTTGACCTCAACATCAGCAATAACAGACTTGGAATTGGCAACAAGCTCGTTGATATTATCGTTGATGGAAGAAGAAGCGGAAGAAGTGGGAGAGTTGGCTATGGTTGGGGAAATGTAACCTGGCTGCAACCTGGGCATGTAAGGGCTACCTGGTTGTGGAGTCCTTGGACTAATGGGAAGGTTTATTCTAGGGCTCAAGGGTGGTTTTCTAGGACTTAGTGGTGAAGGTCTTGGGCTTGAAACTAGCCTAGGGCTTAGTACATCACTGTAAACTTTTCTTTGTTTCTTGGCCTCTAAGCATTGTAGCAGCTGCTGCAACTCGTTGATGTAATCAACCACACCTCCAATTATCGATGCTTGGTCTCCCTATATCACGTAGGAGGAACAAATTAGCCTTCAAGTACGACTACATGAAATCACAATATACACAAGCTAACTAGGAGACACTTTACATTATACATGTCTAAGCATACCGTACCGCAACACCTACTTTCTTTCTCTCTCTTCTTATCACTTTTCGTATCTACACTTCTCTCTCTTTCTTTAGGTGTCATCTAGTGTTGAGTGTCCATATTGATTATTCTCCTTATTACTTTTGGATATGACTACTAGCTGATAAAACAAGTCTTTTTGCAACTTCTCTAGTACAAGCACACTTCAGTATCTGTTTATAGATGATGGTTTGCTTATAAGAAAAATTGAATTAAAGAATATACAATTGTTACCTTGGTCACTGAATATTTCATAATACAAAATCCACCAAAATGTGCATAGGCAGTTCAGTTAATCAAAGCTGTCTAAGTCAAGGACATTTGGGGTGTAAAACAAAGTCTGGAATGCAAACTGATGAACTAAATTAAGGTAAGAAATGAACTATTATCATAGATATAAAATCAAGGAAAGTTTCTAGACTTTGAATATGTGAATGATGTTTACATAATTAAGCGACGATTAAGACTAATTAATTACCCGTTTGACATAGAAGGAAGGCATAAGTGACCTCAATACGGACAAGTTCTCATTCATTTGCTTTCTTCGGTTGCGCTCCACTGTTATATGAGACACCTTCTGTGGTTCTTCTAGCAAGGTGGGGCAGAGTTTTTTTCTCTTGCTTTTGGGTGAGATTTCAGGCTCAGTTTCAGAATCTTGTGGAACACTGGAAGATACTGAGACTTTTTGGGACACTACTGTTGAGTTTTGCTCATTTTGTTTTGAGGTTGGGCTGATAACTGCTTCATTGTAGATGGGAGGAAAATCGTTGAAGTTTTCTAGGCTATCCAAAATGGAAAAGAGGTCCCCTCCACCAAAGTGGGTGTCCCCAAACTCAGTATCTTGGAAAATAGCACATAAGCTGTCATCTATTAAAGGACTTTTCTGGGATTCCATTTCTCCTAACTCTAACTGCAAAGGAATCAAGTATCAGAAAATGGAATGAGTGGGGGTAGAGAAAGTATGAACTTTTGGACTAGGAAAAGGACTGCAATGTAATAGATAAAACGGAAAGGGCTAGTAGATACTAGTTATGGTCCAAAAACGAGTAAAACGAGAGGTACCTTGCTTGTGATGATGTGAAAGAGACTAAACCATCACCATCAAGGTATCAACTACTACTCTACCAGTAGTACTACTGAATGAATATATGGTTTTGTACACGGTGAAAGATAGGATCTCAAGGCAGTGCTGTGGTGCACTGATTCTCAAGATATATGGCAGAAGGCAGAGCAGAAAAGCAGTACCAGACCAAAGAAGTTTTCAAAACTTAAAATTACAATAAATACTGAGAGACGTTAGAAGGAAAGAGAGGGAGATGCATGGAGAAAGGTAAGGGTTTTATACAGAAGTCATTGATGTACATACAATGTTTTTTGTTTATAGCTACTTCTTAGATTTTTTTTTTTTATCTCTCTTTATTATGACATCATATTTAATAAATTCATTTTCTTTTTATTTTCTCTCTCTCTCTAAATACAGAATATCAAAGATGTATGCAAAATTAAAATAGATGCTGACCTTGGGTTACAGAGTTATGGCTAAAATTGTATAAAATTGTATTATTAATATATAGATAGATAGATATACCAGTTTGATATTTTGGCCTGTAAAAGTTTGATGAGTTAGTTATTTTCGCCTGCAAAAATACTGCTAGTGGAAGAGATAAGAAGGATATGAATCACCAATAAATGTACTGTTGTGTAATTAGCAGCAAAGGAAGCAGAGGTGAAGGATCATAGCGTATCTGCATTAAAATTGTCATTCATAAATACTTCTACTACCATTCATTAATACTTCTGAGAAATATTTAAACTTTTTGAAATGTTATCTGATTTATCTTTTTCTTATAAATTTTTTAACTTGAATGTGTACGTTAAATGGTTATATAGCTAAAACTTTGAAATTTTACCAATTGGCCTAAATTTGTGTGGATTTGGCTAATAGGAGCCTATTACTATAAAAATACAGAATGAATAATACTTACAAAAGAAAGTATTAAATACATTTTAAAATAAATTTGTATTTGTATTTTTATCATTTAAACGTATATATAGTCTAAGAGACTTTATGATATTTTTTACCTTTATTCATGTATTTATATTTCGTTTGGTAATATTCTTTACCTGTACAATGACAAAATAGAACGTAGATTTAGATAATCTAATGCGAGGAAATCTTAAACACAGGAATGCATGAAAATAATGTGTAAATTTTTCACATGCATGCATGCTTCATAATTCCTCTTCTGCTTGTTCTCTCTTCTTATCCCCATTAAACAAATTTATTAGCACTATTCTTCAGATTATAAGATCTTTTTTCTTTCTTTAATTCAGGTGTAATTTTAAAATTATAAAATAACAGAAGGATTTATATAAAAGTTGAGATTTAAGAAGGCCATTTTACTTTCAACATAAAAAAATTAAAAAATATTTAAGTTTAAATGGTATCAACAGAATGTGAAAAAAAATATTAAAATTATGCATACAATGATGAGAAAATAAATATTATTACTTAAATATATACTAAAATAATTAATAATATATGTGTCATCAGAACTCCTAGTTTAACTTTGAAAATAATATATATATATATATATATATATATATATATATATATATATATATTATTAAAACAAGTTATTCGTTTAAATGTGAACTCAGTCCTAGTCAAATTAGATCTGTTATATATTTATGAAATAGAAATAAAATAACTGAGAGAAGAGACTTCACTATAAATTCCGTGATGAAAATTAATTATTAGTAAATCTGGTAGATAGTTATTAGAAAAGAGAGTATGAGAAACCTCATCAATATATTTTAATGGAAGCTAGTGTGGTTAAGAAGAAGGAATGTCTAGGTTTGATAGAGGGCAGATAAGACAGTGGAAGAGTATAAAGAGAAGGGATCTAGGTTACCTTCTTTATGGGGAAAACGAACAAATGACAGTTGCAGGTGGCAATGCCGAATTAAAAGTAGAGAATGTTGTGCATGAAAACTCACTATATGCAAATTCCCCTCCAGTGAAGGCACTGCAACAACATGCATAATTCCGGAGGTTGTCGTTTATGTGTTGGCCACCAGTTTCGTGTGTTTTCTAACTGAAAAGCCAGACATCAAGTCATCCATAAGTACACATGCCTCTAACATTCTCAAAATGAACAAACATAGTGCAACCACCTCCTTTCCTTTCCTTTTCACTTGTCATTTCCAAACATTCAATTTTTGGGATCAAAATTTTCAGAAATGACGTCATATTGATGTAGTTTATTCTGTTAAACTGATCTGCAAAGTTTGAATGCAGAATCCTAATTTGTTATTAGAGATATGTTAACCCTTGTATATACTACAAAGGTGTGGCTGCAAGACTTGAATAAGTAGTCTAACCTAATTTTGAGTGAGAGAATAGGACCAATATTTGAATTTGATAGCATCCATAGCTGATATAGTAAGTCAAAAAAATCATTTCTAAAACAAACACTATCACTTGCTAACCATACATGGACCATACAAACTGAATGTCAAAGCTACTGCCAAATTTGTTTCATCTGTCTTTAAGCAATCTGCTATGATGGAGATAACAATAATACTTCTCACGATAGTGTAAAATCTCTTCCATGTAGAAACTCACCAATGTTTGATGTTTAAAAATTGAAGTGTGAGTTAGAAGTCCAAGATAGAAATATGATAAGTGGGAAAAATATATAACCTGATATCTTAAAGTTTTGAATTGAAGGTGATATCATATTCCCTTTACTCATAATCCATTTATAAAAATATCACTGCTATTATCCCATCGAAAATACTTAACAACCCATGCATATAAACAAGTCCAAAAAATGATATCAGGTTAAAGAAGAGGGGTTGATATGTCTCCTAATGAATGCCACAGAAATTGCCATAGGAAACCTGCAAAACTGATGTCACTTTTTTGCCAAATGGGTCAAATTTTGTTCGAAACTATATTGTCATGTTTTATGTTTCTAGTATATTATTATGCTAGGGTAGAAAATCCTCATAAATCTAATTTTCAAGCCATTACCATGATCCAAAAGTGAATAAGCAACTTTTAAGTAACTAAAACAGTTCTACTCCGAAAAAAATATACATATTGGTGATAATAGCTATATACTCTTGGTTCTATACGCCAAAGCGCATGGAGAATTAGATTTGTTAAAAGTGATTAAAGGATATATTTGAATATACTTCTTATAAATAATCTTAAAAACCTAAAAAAATAAAATTTAGTTTATTTGAATAATTACATTATGCATGAGTTAATTTAAAAGTTATTTTAATTACTTTTTTTACTTTGTGCATAAAACACTTTTAGCTTATGAAGATGTTAAAGTTTTTTTGTTTTACTTCTTAAAAGTGTTTATTGAGATTTTTTTCTAAATATTAAATTCAATTATATATATAAGTAGAATAGTATCAGAAGTTAAAATATTTTATTTTCAGAAAAAGAAAATGTATTAAAGCCAAAAAACTGTAACACAAGTTGTGCAGCTAATAGGCGATTACAATGTGTCGAAATAACTTCAGAAAACCCAATACAAGAAAGGAAATCCCCACCAACCAGAGATGCGTCACTAAAACTTCTCAACTACCTAAAATTAAAAGATACCCTGAAATTTGAGGTTACTTCATCAGTTTTATTTTTTTAATTTAAATTCTGAGATTGAACTTCATTAATTAGAAGAAAGCAGAAGAAAATTTAATCATTTCGAATTTATAGTTTATTTTATTATAAAATCTATAGGAGGTAATAATATATATGATTTTATTAATTCTGCGATAAGTGTCTAAAAATAATTATTACTGTAGTTGACTTGTGATTTTGAAGGTCTTGGCAATGTTATCTTAATTAATAGAATCTTTGAGATTACTATTAGTAACTCGACTATATTGATTCGTATTGGTTACGAATATATCAAACTAATTTAAAATTAGTTTGAGGATTAATTCAATAATTAATTTGTTGAACTTTATTCCTCAATTAAATAATATGATTTCAGTTTAGAATTGAGCTTGTTAATAAGTGAATGAAACTTATAATATATAGTTCAACTTGTTTAGTTTATAAAATTGTGTTTATATTATTAAATCAACATGATTTTATATTATTTAAATCAACATGTCAAAAACTTGAATCAAATCAAGTTTGAACAAAAACAAAATCTATATCAAACTCAAGATAAATTTTGAATTGAATAATTTTTTTATCAAATTAAGACAATTTAAAATAAGGATGATTTTCTATTCTTTACCCTACTAATAGATATCTAATGGAGATTGACATATTACTAGAAATATTGTTCATCTATATAATCTATATCTCATATCAATCCATTATATTAACAAAAATATCTTTTAGATATATAATAATTAATGTGCTATTGTAATGCTTATAAAAAAAATTGTAGTTACACGAAATATGTGTTAATAGGTTAATCTTAATAACTTACATTATCTTATAGAAGAAACACATGTTTGGAGATTAAGTTCTTTTAAAACACTTTAAAGATGTCAAAAAGTAAGAGATTGTGAAAAAAATGTCATGAAACCTAAAAACTTTATTTAAAATGTCAAAATAAAATACACAAATACAATAAAAGTTTGATTATATCTTATAAAAGAACCTAAAACAAATTATAGAGACTCTCAAAATAATAAGATATTGCACTAATTTTTTATATATTTAAAAAATAAATTAATATATATACAAGAGATTTAATTTCTTTATTCTAAGTTAAAACTTTAGGGCTGGATTGATTTAATAGTTTAGTTTTTTTAGTTTTTAAAAACCGTTTTAAAGATAATTTAAAAAATAAATGTTTTTGAAAATAAGTTAAAAAGATTATTTAATAATTTTAATTTTAAAATTTATTTTAGGTA